AGTTTGGGAAATACGTTTGGCTGTGAAATTATTTTTTTTTTCTCTCTCTTTCACACACACACACACTCACGCGCAGGTCACTGAAAATAAAGCCACTTTTTTTTTTCTTTTTTAATATTGACCCATGATATCAGAGGTGAGTGTTGGTAAATTTGAAACTTGCTAATAACTCCAAAATTATTTTTTTTTTCCTTCTAGTAGAGGAAAGTTGAATGGCAGTTTGGTAAAATGACATGACATGAAATTATATATGAAGCAGAGATGTTATTGATTTCCTAAATGCAGAAAAATTGCTTGATAAATGTTTAAAGACCAAATAGGGGATGCGAGTACAATGACGCAGTAGCAATAGTCGTGTCTATAACAAGTCCTGTCTGGACTAATGAAAGATAGACTAAATGGTCATTTTCTTGACAATGTCATTGCTGCTGCAGAAAAATAGTGTTTTTGGAGCTGAAAACTTGCTCTATCCATCAGTATTATTGTGCTCTCTGTATCTGTCATTTCCATGGAAATAAATATGATATAGGTGGCATTACTTTAAAACACACAATATATATATATATATATATATATATATATATATATATATATATATAAGTATGATGAAAAAGGGTTGGTGCTATAAAAAGAAAACGGCACATATCAATTTGGCATTTGATAACCTCTGAAATCGTCCCCTTTTGAAGCCACACACATTATCTAGTATGATTTCCATTGATGGAAACAGTCCTGGAACTTCTTTTGGGGGGAATAACGAGCAGGTGCCTTGTCACAGTCTCTTGGATTTCTCCAATGTCTTGAGATCTTGATGCTTTCAAGTGAGATTTGATTTTTGGAAAAGTGGAATTTACATGGGGCAAGATCTGGGGAATATGGTTGTTGTTGGATCTGGGGATTGTTGTGCTTGGCTGCACAATCTATAGTAATTGATGGAAATTCTGTGGTGTGGTGAGATGACCACATTCTATACTATTTCCTTCCAAGCACTGCTATAAACAACAAAAATGAGCAAGAATGTTATAACTTAGTGTGTATGTGCAACAGAGTTCAAGTTCAATCTGTGCCAAGCCTCTTCATTGTGCATACTTACTTTAGCTCCATTGCCATAGCAACAGTCTGGATACATTTTTTATCAGGCATTTTATATATAATATATGTCTTATTTATTTATTTATTTTTTTTTTGTACTACACCAAACATTCTGTGGATACTTATTGTTATGGTCTGGTTCCTTGTACCACGGTGATAGTCCAAGGTAGAACCAATAAAGAAGAACGCGAACACAGATATATTACAAACAGGAATATATACAGAGAAGTAGAAGTGTTAATATGAACAATCAGGTTTAGTAGAGAGAACAATGTAGTCTCGACCAGTATCACTATTCCAATGTCTTGCAGTAATTGTCTGAACGCGACTCTGTTTCGGACTGCCTCTGACTCGACTTGAACTACTGACTCCTTGCCTACTCCTGAGGTGCAGTATTTATTAAGTATGGAATAGTCCATTATTATTATGGGTAAGATCCCATAACACTTATGTTTTAGTAGATGCTGTTTTTTTTTTTGTTTTTTTTTTTTTTTTTTAAACAGTATATACTTCAAAACACTGTCATTAACAAATTAATGGCTTTTTTAATTACTTTTGAACAAAAGTTCATCAATTTTTGACACAGGAACATAGTTAAAAAAGTCATAACCCTAAAATATATATATAATGCATACAAAGGAAGCACAAGAAATCTTCAGTTCTTATAAATAGGTATTACAGAATTTAAGTGGTTTAAAATATTTTTAAAAATCTGTTTTGAATATTAAAATTATGTAATAATTATATAATAGCATTTGATTTTTTTTATTTTTATTTAGGATTTATATACATCTTAATCATGAAGCAACCAAAGATATTGAAGTGTGTGGTTTGAAATATAATACTTCATACACGCAATATACTTTATATTAAAGTCTATCAAAATGTATATTTTGGTTTTGAGTTATCTATTTATCATGTTTTTTATTTTAATAATTACTCAGATTTCACTTCTGAGATAAAAAAATAAAATAAAAATAAAACATTAGGTATACACTGTTTCTTTACTTAATGTTATTTTGACTTGAAGCTTAATGGTGAATATTTTGATTGAAAAGCCATAATCACCTGCTTTTGAAATATGAGAAGCTCAAATTTCTTGGGGTTTTCATTAGGAAGCAGGCTTGCTTATCGGAGCTGTCAATGAGAAAATCCTCATTAATCACATCTCCCCGTTTTATGGGAGTTTATACTTTGCATTTTAAGCTTAGCAAGTCAAATAGAATAAATAACCTGGGTACAATAAATCTTGTGATTTTGGTTAAATTTGAGGTTAGCTTGTTAAAAATAATTATTTGGGTTATTTATTTGTAGTTATTTATATATATATATATTATATATATATATATATATATATATATATATATATATATATATATAATATAGATAATATTAGTGGAAAATATGTGTGTGTATGTATATATACATGTGTAAGGGTGTGTATTTATTTGTATATATATATATATATGTATGTATGTATGAATATATGCATGGGGGCATATGTATTCGTGTATATGTATGTGAAAAGTGTGTGTATATGAATATAGATGAATATGTGTATGTGTGGATATGTGAATATATTTTTAGGTTTTTTATATATATATATATATATATGTGTCTGTGTGTGAGAGAGTACATGCCTAAGTGTATGTACCTACTTGTATATGTTTTTGTGTGTATTAGTATGTGTTTTTGAACATAGAAATATTTGGTCCTTGCTATATTAGACAATCGTTATATTCATTTTCATATATTTATATTTGATTTCTAACCTGTAGTCGATATTAATTTGTCAAATTTTCTCAATTACAAAGCAGCCCTTTAAGTAAACACAATTTTATTTTCCTTCATCCCATCTCTCCCCCCCTCTTCTCTTCTCTTTTTTTTTTTTTTTTTTTTTTCCCCCACCTCCTATCCTAATTGTCTATGGTGTGTATATGTCACCACGAAATGTATCTTTATGCATTAGACATCCCATAACACTTGTTTTAGTAGATGCTGTTTTTTTTTTGTTTTTTAAAACAGTATATACTTCAAAACACTGTCATTAACAAATTAATGGCTTTTTTTAATTACTTTTGACTTTCATTCTCTCCTCTTTTAAACCCCCCACATCTCCTAAAATTCTCTCTGTTAAGGTTTCATCTCCCTCCTCCTCATACTTACACTTTCTCTAAATTCTGTTTTTGATTTCGGAGTTGTTTTTTCTGTTTTCATTTTGAATTTGTAGGTCTGATGATTTGGATCGTATTTATTTTCCAATGGAATAAATTATGACCATGGAATATTAGTGTTTAAGCCTTTTATTATTTATATATATATATATATATATATATATATATATATATATATATATATTCAATGCAATCTGCATTCAAACGTACATGCATATGTAATCATACAATGCAACTCTTGTTCAAGCTTTACACCGACAGGCCAATTTGATTAACCTCATGTTGCATTCCAATTCTCAGTCTTGTCAGTGTTCACCAAAAGCTGGGAAAGGGCATGATGTATGCTCACAAGGTAACATAGAGCAAAAAAATGCCATGTTGAGAAGTAAGAACATGAACTCTGTTTCTCATATTATATGTAGTTGCTTTATTCAGGGCTTTGCCTGCTCATCTGGGTAGGTAGGTAGTTAGGTGATACTTGGGACAATTTCTGCTATGTCAGCTCTTCCCTTCCCCTCTACCATCTCCTCACCCATGTACTCCTCTCGATGTGGTGGCTGACAATATGATATTGAGGCTTTGGAAATGCTTGACGAACACGTAAGTCTCCTATCATGTGTAGACCAGAACCCTCCCTGATCCCAAACATGACTTAATATAGAACACCACTCGAATATGCTCTATTTCGGGTTTTGATGTCACTTGATTACCAAAGAACCCTCATCTATCCTTTTACTTCTATGTTGACCTTTGGTCAAAGTGGATGTGACTTAGTTCCTTTTTAAAGTTTGACCTTCTATCTGTTGGTCCATCAAACAGAAACACTTCCTGTTCTATGTGGATGTCTTTAATATCACATAGATACGCATAAGTGCAACTGGTTTGAATTAGCTTCCCTTTTCTTAGACTGGATTCCACCCAAAACTAGAGAGACCTATCTGCTTGGTTATTTCTACCCTTAGCTGGGTAGAGAAGAGATAGCTTTATGCCTTTTCCTTTCCAGAAGGCATTAGTACAAAGTGAACATCTTCTACCACTTCTTTTCATGTTAATATCCATTATGTTTGTTGTATTTTTCATATAGGAATAGGTGTGTCTTTTAATGTTTCTTTTTCTTTTACAGAGCACAAATTTTCAACATAAGTGCCATACATAAATAATCTTGTCCCTCTCTTAATTTTTTACAGGTGATAAGTAACAAATGTCACAAAGTCCTTGCTGGATATCAGTACTCTTTCCGTTTGTTGTGTAGAGGACCAGAGATCAGTTCTTTGCGAAGGAGATGAATTCAATTTTAAACCTTTACTTTCTGTATATGGGGTGATAAGTAGAAGAGAAATGACCTCTGTTTGCAAATATCAACTGTCATTAGCCGTTGGTAAGAGAAATACATGAGGTGTTTTGTTAGCTATTCTCAATATAGTACCTTCCCAGGAATCACTTGGCTTTGTTTTGTTCAAGAATTTGTTAAAAGGAATAAGGTAGGAAGATTGTTTTGCTAATTTACCAAATGGAGAAAGTGTGACTACTTTGAGAATCAGCACACCTTATCCTTGCTTTTATCTGGGCTGAAACACCTTTTACTGTTTTCGGTGTGAAATGTGCAGTAATTTCAAGCATGAGGCAGCATGTAGATATTTGCTAAGCCTAGAATGGGACACCCTGTAAGGACAGAAGACTACATGATGCTAAAAAAACTAGTTTACATAGACAAGCATGCACATTATTGGTGCTTATGGCTATATCATGTTGAAACACCAATTCTCTTCTGATTACTGAAGTTAAGCACTGTCAAATCTTGCCAGTACCTAGATGGGTGACCACTTGGGAATACCAGGTGCTGTAAGCTTGAATGTTTAGTTGGTGTAATGAATAATGGTGCAGAATGAGAAATTCCAGTTGGGTTTGTTACATTCAGTTCTGTGCACATACTCTTGCAAAAGGTATGAATCCACCTCTTATCCCTCCAGTTATGGGTTGAATAGTAGAGTAGGCTGGACTCTTCCATCTTGGCAACCAGTCTTTAAGAAGGATAAGTCTGAATTAAAAGACTGTATCTATCCTTGGTTAAGCACATTATATGAAGTGTATGACAGGATCATGGATTTAACAATGACTCTGTGGTCCCAACTGTAGTTGGCCTTGGCTACACGATTTATTTTGGTAAATAAAATTAAGTTTATTAAGCTATTAAGAATAACACTTCTATCCTTAGCATTAACATTATGTTTTTTGTAAGTTTTTTTTTTCTTCCTTCTCCATGATGTCACATGACCAACGTAATAATTACAATACCTTGTGCATAAGACATTTGTGTCTTCAGGTTGTTTCTGTCAGAAGTAAAATGTGTCATGTCATAAGATTCCTAGGCATTAGGTGGCAGTAATCCTATTAAATTTATTGTTGGGTTAAAGTTGGTACATTATGATCTAAGCTAAGATAGATATGTACTCATGTGTACCAAATACAAGTGCCAACATGATTAAATCATTTCCTTCAATAACGGCATGATAATTATTTAGTATGGTAGCTTATAATTTCTCAAATGATTTTCTCAATGGTATCATTCTTTATATACACACGCACATATATATATATATATATATATATATAATAAAATATATATATATAAACACTAAAAAGGCTTAATATTAAAGTGTTTAAGCCTTTTTATTATATCCTTACTCTGTCCTGGACATCGAGTTCTACCTGGATTCTATCCTCTTGGAATTTTTTTTTTTTATACAAAATATATGTGAATGAATGAATGAATGTATGTATTTATATATTTTGTATGTGTATATTTACCACTAATATATATATATATATATATATATAATTTCCAAAACAATACATTTATATTATTTATGGCTCTGTAGGATATTGAGCAAAATGTATTCAACAAAATTAATGATAACTTGCATTTTAGTTAAATAATTGTTTGTATGTAATATATATGAAGTTTGGCCAAAAAGTAATTGGGTTGTTGCTATGATAACATGGAGAAAGCATGCAGAGTAAAGCCACTTGGCACAGATTGACCTTGAACTCTGTCATGCATACACACTAAGTTATAGCATAGTTGTTCACTTCCATTGTTTATAGCAGTGCTTGGAAGGAAAGTGTGTAGAGTGTGGTTGTTTCATCACACCACAGAGGTTTCATCAATGACCTGCAGAGAATCTGCATCAAATTTTGCCAAAAGCTTGGTGATATGTGCAGAGATCTACGTAAAGTTGTATAAAGTGTATGGACAGGACTGTATGAGTCGGATACAAGTGTATGAGTTGTTCAAACATTTCCCAGATGGCTGACAAAATGTTGACAGTGACATGTTCTGGTGGGGGACTCACAACCAGTAGAAATCATGAAAACATTGCAGATGGGTGTGTATCCATTCAGAAAGATCATTGAATCACCATGTAGGAGTTGTCAGAGAATGTGAGCATTAAGTTAAGGTTCAGTTCAGTCATTTCTCGCTGAAGATTTAGGTATGAGACACGTGCCTGCCAAGTTTGTGCCAAAACTGTTTTCAAATGACCAAAAAGAAAATCGGAAAAACAAAAACTATTTGAAAACTGTCATAAAAAGTGACAAATCATGGGTTTATGGTGATTACCCCCAAACCAAAGCTCTGCCTTTGTAGTGGAAAACCCCAAACTCTCCTTAACTAGTAATGTGAAGACAATGTTGACAGTTTTCTTTGACTAGACGGGCATTGTTTATCATGCATGTGTTTCACCTGGTCAGACTGCTGTGATGTTTTGCTGTGTTTGCAGGATGCTTTTCATCAGTAAAGGACAGAATTGCATGCATCTGGTGAGTGGCAACTCCGCCATGACAAAGCACTTGCTGTTTCAGTCTGTGCAGCACTTTTTGGCCATTTACAACATTCCCCAAGCCTTACAACCATCATATTCCCCAGATATTGTCTCTTGCAACTTTTTTCCTCTTTCCAAAAATCAAACCCCACTTGTAAGGAACAAGAATTGTAGACATTGAGAAAATTCCAAGAGAATGTGATGTGGCTGTTTGTTCACTATCAACAAAAAGGAAATACTTCTATCAATGGAAACAACACTGGATAAAGTGTGTGGCTTCAGAAGGGGAGTACTTTGAAGGAGATCGAATGCTGAATTGATATGTTGTAGTTTTTTTTTTTTTTTTTTATAGCATGAGTCCTGATACTTTTCATTATCGTGTGTGTATGTATGTGTGTATATATATATATACACACACACACATCCTGTATTTGGCAACATATAAAATGCAATTTTGTTCTTAAAATAAGAGCTATCAAAAATCACCTCTGTCTTTATATTCAAAGTTGAGGTCTCCTGTAGGCTGATTCTATCTCCAGTGCTTACTATTATTTTTACAAGTACTGTAAAGGGAATTATTGTAACAAAATATGAATTGACATTGTTTTATCACTGTGATAATTCTGAATATTTTTACTATTGTAATTTTTTCTTTTTCATGTTCTATTGTACTGTTATTCTGCTTTTTACTGTAATGTAATTTTTGTAGTGATGTTTTCTGCTATAGCTAAAGTGCTTTTGTCATGTTCTGATGCTTAAATACACTAAAAGCATTTTTCTTGTTGAAATATGGGTGTGTCTAATATATATCCATGTTTTTTAAGTCATCAAATATAATAAAAAAAAAAAAAAAAACCCAACAAACCCTTAAACAAAATATGAATCTTTTGAATCAATTTTCTTGTCTTGAATTATTCATGGATTCTAGTATTGTTATTTTGACCATGAATTGTTATTCATGGTATATAGCATTTACACTATTTACATTGTTCGGACTGTTCTCCTCATCTTTGTTGCCATATTCATGATGTTTTGGTTGTTGTATGCTCCTGCCTTTTTCTGGTGATTGGAATTTTGAACTGAACCCTTTATTTCATCCACCTGGGTAGATTGTTCTAGTTCCACATGCCATGCCTCTTCTGGGTGTCTCCGTATCAGTTATCTCCTTTTAACTCAACTCTCCAAGTTTTTATTCACCTCATCTATAGCCAGGTATTGAACTCACAACTCTTTGGGTCAAGTCACTGGATTCAACCAGGCCATATGTCCTTGAGGTATATAGCATGACATTGATTTCTACCCATCAGTGATGATGGAGTCTCTCCAAGATTAGAATGTACACATCAAAGACAAAGAAATTGGTACAAAAAGATAAAAGTCTATGTATAATAGTAACAACACCTCATTTTGAAAATTCAGTTATAAAATGAGTATATAAGATGTCAATGGAAAGAAAGAAAAAAATAAACAAACCCTTGAAAATCTGACCCAGAATCTGGTGAATTGCCAGGAAAGAATTTACACACATCTTTTTACTGTCTGATACAAATAACTGCTGATTCAAGTGAATGAATGTGTAAAGGGGATTGATTTCAACTTTGGATTGGATTCCCTACTTAAAATTATCAGTCAAGATTAAAAAAGTGTTAAATGCAAATCCTTGCTGTTCTTATTGAATAATTCTTAACTTAGTTGTTGATGTAGTTTTGGAAAGCCAACTTATCTATCCTTATCTTAGAATGAGTCATGTGCTATGTGTATGGCTGTTCTAAGAAAAAACAAGAAAGAAAACAAAAAAAAAACAAAAAACACTTTCTTGATTTCTGAAAAACACCAAACTACCTGTTTCCTTTTTTTCTTAATTTTTTTTTTTTTTTTTTAAATCTATATTTGATTTCTTCTGCTTGGAAGAATTTTCTGTGTTTGTGTGCCTTTATTTTATTTTTTGTACATGTTCTTTTTATTTTGTTTTTTTGTGTTTTTTTTTTTTTTTTTCTCTTTTTGTTTGTGTGTGTTTTTTTTTTTTTATTTTTATTTTTTGTGTGTGTTTGTGCATTCTTTTTGGCCTTCTTTTGTTTTCTTGTGTGTGTGTGTGTGTGTGTTTTTTTTTATTTCTTTTTCTGTGTGTGCATGTTTTTTGTTTCTTTTTTTTTTCCACTGGATTTTTTCATTCATGTTATGCATTTAGTTTTTAAGTTATTTGCCTTTATGAATTTTTTCAGGCTATTATTTTTAGTTGTTTTTCAAACCTTTTATTTTTAGTTTTCTTGTCTTTGTGCTTTTATTTTACAAGAGGTTACCATGAAAGAATATAAGAAAAAAATTATTCCACTTTTGTTTTGGATACTATTATATGTCCTATAAACAGACTTGTTGACATGGAAAACATGAAGACCAAACAATACTTAATCAGAAAATATAAGAAACTCTTATCCTCAAAAATTATGACATATTTTTCTTATATGAAGTTTTCTTTCGTTTTGATATGAAGATGCCACAAGTAACAGATGTTTAGCAAAACATGTCATTTATAGCTTTTCCATTTTTGTTTTGGATACTGTTATACATACTACAAATTCTCTCTCTCTCTCTCTCTATATATATATATATATATATACACACACACACACACGTGTGTATATATAAATATATATATACACACACACACACTCTCTGAATATCAAATTATTTCAGTATATCATAGCTGGAATATGTTGGATCATTGATGACATTTCTCAGGGCAATGGAGATTTCCGTTGCAGTGCCTATCTGTTATTCAATAACATAAAATTTGTACTGGCTTACTTACTGGGATCAATGCATACTTTTTGAGGCCATTAATATGGATTCTATGCAAACTACCACAAACAGAATTTGAACTTGGTTCAATTATGCTGTCTTAAATCTTAGGCAAATTTCAGTGTGTGCATGAGTATGTGACATGAATAGAAATAAACACACATCTCTCTCTCATATATATATATATATATATATATATATATACACCAAGAACAATATTGTGGAAA